GTTCATGGCATACTCTAAGATCAAGTCCTTTGGTAAAAGTAGAAGGCTTATGGTGGATAAGAATGTGGAATCATACTGGAGAAGTAGTTCAACTACTTGGAGAGAGTTTCAAATGCTGTCTTAAAATGGTTTTTGCTTTATTCTTTAAGAAGTTAAAACAACCTCTCTAAATATATATTATCCTAAAATGTGACTTATTTTAAAGTCCCATTTGTGATTAGGATAAATTTGTGATAGACTACTAGTAAAGAATGTTACTTTTATTAATTTTAAGCAAGTATGCATCTTAGATGGAGAAAAAGATGATTTCTGAAAGTACTGCAGGGCAATAAATATATTTTATTGATCCACAACACTGATTAAAATAGTGTTAGTGTGTATATCTGAATGATTCTATTGAAATAAAATAATTCCCTACTAGGGCTTCTAAAATCTGAACCCAAATCCTTTTGACTATATTTTCTCTGCTGTATTTCTGAAATATTAGTTTCCTGATCTGCATCATTCAGTGTTTGATTTTCTAAACTTAAGGGAAAGAAATATCTAAAGAGTTATTTCCACATTTTTCAGATATTCCGTAATTTTGCTTCTTCTCAGATATTTGCTCCTACATAAATTTGTACTTTAGATGATAACTTTCAAAAGCTATAGCATGTGCATCAGAAACTTGGAGGTAAATAAATTGTCAACAGTAGGACAATGGTGACAAAATAAAACCTGGGCTTCTACCACTGATGGTTTTTATAAGTAGCTATAAAAGACAGATATAATTGCTAGTGCAAGCAAACACTGGGATGTGTGCCTATCATCTTTTTTGATAGTGAGAAGAAGTGTTTAGGAGGTAGGAATCAGGTGTATTAAACTGCCTAAGTATTTTCTTTGGGGACATATATGTGTATGTGTATGTTTATGTATATGTATATGTATATGTATATGCACACACATACATATATATACACACTCACAATACTTGTATACATATATATTCATATATGTTGTCCCATATTCACTATATACTGTGTGTCAGGTGGGCCTCTATGAGTCATGGTCACCTCTATCCTCTTAAAAGAAGTGAAAAATAGAAATGAAGCCAAATTTCTGTTATCAGTCTTCTGTGTGCTGTAAAATGAACTACTGTTATATTTTTACTACAACATGCATGGCTATGACATGGTGTTTAACAGTGTTAAGTTTATTGCATCTTAACTAAACATGTCTGAAACAAACGTCTTTATGATAGTAAAATGGCTCTCTGATGTGATCCCCTGGACTTGAAACATTAAGTTAATTTTCCTCTGCATCTCTGAGCTGCATTCTTTCTTCCCCCTGCGGAAACCCTGTGAGGAATACAGCTTTTGACCGAATGACAGAGCGTGGAGGGTGAGATAAGATGCATTAAATTAGAATATGACAAAAAAGCCTATTTAAATATTTGTCACAATGGCATATTCAACTCAGGAAGTAAAGGCAAGCCAATGTAGAGACCTAATATTTTGAAGAGAAATTTGGTAAACCACTCAGATCACTTTCACACTTTGAAAAGATAAAATTGAAGATTTGACATGAACAAATGTAGTTTCTGAATTAGGGATTCTTTTCTATAATTTTGAATACAATCTCCTCTTGGTTCCTTTTATTTACATGTAGATTTAACTGTTAGAAAGTTATCTATCTCTTGTCATAATATTATTAGAACAAGCAAGATTGCAAATAATAACAAACAGTTTTATTTGGGAAAATTAAAAAAAATATTGGAAGGTGAAGGGAAAGGATACTATTACTAAATTTCTATTTCTAAATATTTCCTTTTTCTCTTTTCCTTTTTGGGAAGACTGCAGTATAGTTGAAAAAACTTGAAGTTCAGAATTTTGCACCTGAGTCCTAGCTCTGCCATTTACTAGCAATCCTAACTGCTTTGGTTAAAATACTTAAACTTCTCTTAGTATAGTATAAATCTAAGCTGTCGTTTTTAGTATGACATTGTTAGCAACCATAAAAAATTTCTGAAGAATAGTGAAGGTGCAATTTAAATCATAAAATGATGTTTCCAATTAAAGTGGAAAATACATTAAATTTTTGCAAAAGACAGTAAAGTGATACTTTGTTCCTGCATTTTAATCATGCCAACACATTATATGATTCTTTTTTTTTAAGAGAGGAATGGATAAAAACCTGATAGTTATCTTTTTTTAAAAGTTATATTTCACTATGATGGGGCATGGAGAGCATCAGTCTCTGATGGGGTTAATCTAGCTACATAAATTTCCATGCTGTGTATGATAGTAGTAAAGCTTGTGATCCCTTGATCTTTGATTAGATCTGAGCTGGTAAATACCTTGTGATTAATCAAAATGGGTTGTTTTGCATGTAGTATAAGTCACCTTCACAGATGGGCTAGAGCATCAGAGTTCTTCATGAATATTTGTTTTAATCCATTCCAGACCAGACTTGCTTTGTGTTTCTCTATTTAAATCGGATTTAGTCAGCCAAACGCGTCAGTACTAGGAAGAAATTGTAACTTGAGGCTTTGAGTAGTGGGGCAGGAGGTTGGAAAGGAAGAAACATTTTTTATTCTTCATGGATATTTTATGTAATATTTCATATGTGAACATGTAGATTTATAGACTTCTTAGTCAAATTTAAAATACAGTTCTATCAATACTTTTCTTTTATACTGAACATGTTTTCGTGATTAGAGAAAAATTTTTTGTAAAGCATCTGTGAAGACATGTGAAAAACAGCAGGTATTTTATGAGTTGAATTGTTCTTATTTTTAGTTGCGTAAGCAGCTCTGCTTCAACATCCTTTAAACTCAGGACAAGGTTTTTTTTTCTTTCTCCTCAGATCTAGTCAATTACATTTTGTTAATCCCATTCCTTTTGAAACACAAAATATTGGGCATCAGAGAATGGAAGCACTGCAAGGTATCTGTGGCTGTATCTCCACAGAATAACTTTTACCATTCCCACTGAACTGCTCAGTCAATTGGTGAAGAGAACCTTTTTCCTGCTATTTACAAATAGATTGACTGAAGTGACAATAAAGGAAATATGATGTGTGGAATAAACTACTGAGCTGGAGAGAGTCAGATGTGGATTTGGTTTTGGCTCTGTTACAACCTGAGTGACCTTGGGCAAGCCACTTAATAATCCCAAGCATTCAGTCTTATCATCTGTAGTATGGGGAAGTTGTTAAATTTCTTCTAAGGCCCTTTCTACATCTTGCATTCTTTGATTAAATAATTTGTTCAAAAGTTGTATATGTAAATATAGCTTGGACTCAAAACCTTTGTCATAATTTTCTATTGTTGTCCTCCAGTATAATGCAGAAAAACACAGAGAAAAGGAAAGAGAAAAAACATTGGTTTTCAAATTAAGAGGATATGGGTTCAAATCCCTGCTTGGCTACGTATTACCAACATGACAGTAGGAAAGTCATTTCACCTCTGCTTATATGCAAAATGAAGGAGTTATTAGGTTAAAAGACATCCATAGTGATTTTAGGTTCAAATCCTAAAGTATAAGTTACTTGTCTTTTGATCATAATTAACTTTTATTTACATTTGGAAGGGTACTCAACTGGTTAATAAATAATGAGACTTGTTCATTATCCCCAGTCAGTCTTTAGAATATAAGTGAAATTGACATTTACCTTCTACTGTGAAACAAATAATTATACACATTATGTATAGTTAAATCTGTGCACTAGGTGCCATATGTGTAAGTAAGGTAATTGGACTGAATTAGTAATATCATAGCAACTGGTTGAGAAAAGAAAAATCAAGCCAATCAGTCAGTGGTCTTTGTCTATATGATGTTAGAACAACAAACATTTTTTAATAAACTGAAATGATCAGTTTGATTTTTATTTGTTTAGGTCATAAAAAAATTAATTCAGTAACAGGTTTGAAAGGTTGTCAGGAGCCATATTTTAAATAATTGTATAATATTATATCAACAAAAAAAAATAATTGTTCCTGGGTGAGGCTTAATTATAGCAAGACCAGTGTTATTAGACATAGGCAATGTCTTCACTAGTAAAACGGTAAACAGCCTATTTTCTAGGTACTTGTTTTATACAATATCTAATAAATGAGTTTTTGGCTAAATTAGGAATGTTTGGGAATTACATAGGAAGGGAGGAAGAAAAGGAAGAAAGAAAGGGGAAGATGGGTGCAATGAAGGAAAAGCACAAAAGGAAGGAAGGAAAAGAAGGATAGAAGAAGGGAAAAGAAGAACGAAGGAATAAGGGAAAGGAAGGAGACAGAGGAAGGGAGAGAAAGATGAATAAAAGGATGGGAGGAGGGAAAGAAATGAAAGAATGAAGGAAATAAGCATTTATTAATCATCTGTCATAAACTAGGCACTATGTTAAGTACTTTTCAAATATTATCTCATTTGATCCTCAAAATAGTCTTATAAGGTAGGTGCTATTAGTATCCCTATTTTACAGTTCAGGAAACTGAGACATAGAGAGATTAAGCAACTTGCCCGGTAAAGTCATTTGAAGCATGAAATTACTTTTAAGTGTCTGAAGGCAGATTTGAACTCAGGTCTTCCTGACACCATGCCACCAAGCATTTAATCTTAAAGTTAGAGACAGTGAATTTTGTAAATTCAAAGTATTAATTTTAGATGTTTAAATATATGATTGTGGAAGCATAGATTTAGACCTGGAAGGACCTTCTGAGGTAATTTAGTCCAACTTCATCTCACAAATAAGAAAACCATGGTTCAGAGAAATTAAGTGAACTCTCTAAGGTTATACAGGTTCTAAGTCTCCAAGAGGGGAGTCAAGCTCAAATCATTTAACTCCAACTTTATTGTTCGATTCATGGTCTATCGTGATGATATGAAGAGGATAATGGATATTGTTGAAGAGTATAATTGGAAGGAGCCTCTGAAATTGTCCAGCTCATCTGTCAGCTTCTAGATGTACCTGCCACATAGGTTGACATGTGATTAATCTGATGTCCTTTGTTTTTCTTATTGTTTACATAGGAGACCTGGAGAGCCTCCATTGATAAATGGTTTGATTCCTTTTTTTGGAGTGTCCTTTCAAATGCAAAAAAACACTTTCAAAAGGATCCAAGATTATCAGAAAAAATATGGAAATATATTTACCTTACAAATTAATGGTAAGAATTCTTCTCATTAATGTCTTCTATACTCATCTTATTTTATCAGTTTCTTAATTATTTCAAATTATTTCAAAGATATTAATTACCACCATGCTTTTACATATAGAGCTCTTGTTAAAAAATAAACTATTGTATCACTTAGGGAATTGCTAAAAAAAAGAAGTTATACATGACTGTAATGTAATTACTGTACTATAATAAATAATGAGACATCCAGGTCACATGAGCAGTAAGATGGAGGACTAAGTATATTCTCTGATACCCATGACCTTTCAAACTTCTTCAAAAAAGAAATTATACATCCAAAATAAAGCAACTTAAGCTGTGTCCATGGTTTAGGACACTACAAAAGAAGGTGAAAAAACAAACCCAAATCCCATAAACTGATGTTCACTGACCCTGAACTCACTCAGTAACACTCCCCCATTTCCAACACTACCTGTAAAAGGGCTTCACTAGAAGACCTAAGGACATGACATAGACTTCCAACACCTATATTCCAGTTTCCTTTCCCTCTTTCTCATACTGTGGAGAGCCCCACACCAGGCTATAGAAATTTATCCTGGCTGTGATAGATAGCCATGTGACAACAACCTGTCAGGATCAAAAGTCTGCCAGGGGCCACAACCCACTAGCACCAGTGCTGCAACATGCCAAACTCCTGGTGTCAAGCCAAAGAATTAAGGAACAGAAGGAATGGGGCAGAACACTGTGTGTGTTGGGTGGAGGGAGGGGAAACATACAGAACTCCACTAAGCTTGAAGGAAAGTGCATGGAATCCATATGGGCCCAATTCTGATCACTCAGAAGTCAGTTGGTGCAGAGATCCAGGCTGGTAACCATAAATTACTCAGCATGGGAGGAAGCTGAAATGCTTTGAGATCCAGTAACTAAAGAAACCACAGTCAGAGAGGAAGGAGTCAGAAAGAGAGTAGTAGGAAAATTAAAGTGGGGGAAAGACTGAAATTACCAAAGATTTCAAGAAGAAAACCCAAAGACCTTGAATATAAACATAAATCAAGAGGAAAAAAGGAAAAACAGTAACAACACAAGGAAATATGGCCTCTAGAGCTATTGAGTTCAGTCATCTATTAATAAATACTGTAAAACAAAGGAAAATGATACAGTGCTTGATGAAATAGAGTACTCTATGGAATTTGAAAAGAATGTGGAACAATAATGTATTTTTTCTGAGTGGTTCAAAAGAGAAATGAGAATTAAGAGATCAGAATTTATGACCTGCAACAGAATAGAAAAAAATTGGAATATGCTATGGCAGGCCTCATCAAAGAAAGAAAAGACAGAATAATAGTTGGTAATGCAAATATACAATAAGGAAGGATAATCTAGAAGAAGAGAAGAAAAAGCAGTAAAAGAAATTAAGTTCACTTTGTAGGCAAAGAATACTGATCTCTAAGACATGATGCATAGAGATAGTCTAAGGAAAATTGGTCTCTCAGAAGAACAATCAGAACATATTTTGCATAGTTGCATGCTAATAAAACTAAGAACACAAAAGAAATAGAGCAATACCTTCAAAAATACAAAATAAGACCACATAGAGATCTTAAATCACCCAAATCTCAGAAAAGGAAATAGATTCAGCTAAAAAGGAACTACCAAAGAAAAATCTCTAGGTTCTGATGAGAATTCTATCAAACTTTTAAAGTTTAGTACCCATACTTCATAAATTATTCTCAAATATTAAGAAAGAACTACTCTGTCTGAATTCTCTTGTGAGACAAATGTAGTATTAATACCTACACCAGGGAAATATAAAACACAGAACAAAAACTATAGGCCAATGTCATTAATGATTATCTACTCCAAAATTTTAAACAAAATCTTATCAAGCAGTCTACAATGATTTACTCAAGAATTCACTCATTAGGATCATATGGGATTTATGCCAGGGATTCAAAAATGGTTCAACATGACAAAGCAATAAACATAATTAGTCTTATTAAAAACCAAAGCATCCAGAATCACATGATCATCTCAATAGTACAGAAAAAACCTTTGACAAAATATAATACTCTTTTATGCTAAAATCCCTATAAAGTTTAGACATAAAAGAACCTTTTTTTAAATATCAGAAAAAGCAAACATCTAAAATAAAAAATCAAGCTTCATAAGAATTGCAGTTACACTAGAACTTTTTCCAGTAAATATAGGAGTGAAACAAGGATGTTCACTCTATCTACTATTATTTAATATAGTTCTGGAAATGCTAGCAACAGTCGTAAGTCAAGGAAAGGAATTAAAGAAGAAAGATAAGTAAAGAAGACAAAACTATCCCTGCTTGCTGACAATATGATGGTTTACTGAGAAACTCCTGGGAATCAGCAGACTTACTAATTGAGACAATTAGTAGCTTCAGCAAAGTTACAGCAAAGCTACAAAATAAATTTTCATTTAATAAATAAATAACAGCATTTCTATATAAGAATAACAAAACACAAGAAGTAATAATAGAAAGGGAAATCCCATTCCAAATAACTACAAAATTAATAAAAAAAAATTTGATTATCAACCTTACAAAAGACCTTTATAGGTTTGAGTATGATGTGCTCCTTAAGGAATTGAGGAGTAATTAAAATAGCTGGAGGGCTCTTAGCTAGACCATGCCAATACAATAAAAATGACAATATTTCCAGAATAAATTTGTATTTTTGATGCTACACTTAATCAAATTACCAAGGGGATAAGTTACAGGACTGGATGAAATGGCAAAATTCATTTGGAAAAACAAAAGATCTAGAATATAAAGAGAAATTATGAAAGGAAGTAGGCAAAGAAAGCAGCTAGATGGCACAGTGGACAGAATGCTGGGTGTGGAGTCAGAAAGACTCACCTTCCTAAGTTCAAATCCAGCTTCAGCTTTACTAGCTGTGTGACCCTGGACCCTGTGTGACCTCTTAACCCTGCTTGCCTTAGTTTCCTTATTTATAAAATGAGTTGGAAAAGGGAATGACAAATCCCTCCAGTATCTTTGCTAAGGTAATCCCAAGAGTTGGACATGACTGAACAACAAAAAGGGATGAAGATGGCACTTCCAGATATCAAATAATAAAAAAGCAGCAATCATCAAAATCTTCTGTTATTGGTTATAGGGTAGGTAAATCAATGAAACAGATTAGAAAAAGAAGATTCAGAAACAACAATAACCCAGTTTTTGATAAAGTAGGAAACAAATTTTCAGGGAGAAAACTCCCAATTTGATAAAAACTGTTGTGAAAGCTGGAAAACAGTCTAGCAGAAATTAGGCTTAGGCCAACATATTACATCATATTCCATAATACATTCTAAATGTATATATAAACTAAATATTACAGATCATACTATTAAAAAAAGAAGAGAAATAGATCATATACTTCTCAAGAATATAGGTAGGAGATATATGCTTACTCAAACAAAAGATAGAGGAAGCAACAAAATTAAAAATACATAGCTTTTATTATTTGAAACTTGAAAAGCTTCTGCATAGACAGAATCAATGCATCTAGAATAAAAAGGGAAGTGGTTAAATGGAAAAACAAATTTTGTATCAAATTTTCTCTGATAAGGGTTTGGTATTCAAGATATATTACAAATTAATAAATATATGTAAAATCAATAGCCAATCCCTAATAGATATATGATTAAAGAAGATGAACAAACAGTTCTCAAAAAAACTCTGCAAAATATTCACAACCACATGAAAACAAAATGCTCCAAATCATTAATAACAAGAGAAATGCAAATCAAGATAACCCTGAGGTTGCAAATTGGCAAAAATAACAAAAAATGGTAACAATCAATTTGGAATTATACAAATAAAGTGACTAAAATGGCCATCCCTTTGCTGGGCTTATACCCCAATGAAACCATCAATAAGAAGAAATCCCACATATAGTTAAAATATTTATAGCAACATTTTTTTTTGTTATTGCTAAGAATTGGAAATAAAGTAGATGCCTATCTATTGGGGAATGGCTAAACAAACTGTGATATATGAATGTAATGGAATACTACTGTGTTGTAAGAAATGATATGTGTGATAAATACAGAGAACCATGGAACAATCTATGTGAACTGATGCAATGTGAAGTAAGCAGAGCCAAGAAAACAACATACACAGTAATTACAACTATTTAAATGGAAAGAACAATGACACACCAAAAAATTAAAAACAAATGTAACTAAATTATAAAGATCAAGTGCAACTCAAATGAAGAGATATGAGAAGATATCCCCAGCCCACCCCTTTGTGGAGGTGGGAGGTCCACCGGTGTTACACATTGTACATGTTTTCAGACTTTCTCAATGTATCCCTTAGTTGTGCTGACTTTTTTTTCCTCTCTAAATAATACTATTTGTCATATGGATTGGCTCCTGGGGAGGAGGAGAAGGGAGAGATAAATGGAGTATCATAGCAATGTAAGAAATAGAAAATATCAATTAAAATTTTAAAGGAAATTATATATATGATGAATATATAGAAGCATGGAAAAAATCTTGATGAACAGATGCAGAGTGAAGTAAGCACAGCCAAGAAAACAATATACACAGTGACTCCAATAATGTAAGAGGAAAGAACAACCAAATACAAAAAGAAAACCAAAGCAAATATAGCAAAATTATAAAGATCAAACAGTACTCAAATGAAGAAATGTAAGAAGACATGAAGACACTCCCAACTTACTCTTTCATGAAAGTGGGAGGTCCACAGGTTTTTCATATTGCACATGTGTTTGACTTTTTTTAATATATTGATTAATTTTGATTTTTTTCCTTTCTAAAAAAATACTGTTTTTCTTATAGTATGGCTGTCTGGGAGGGGAAGAAAGATTGTCATCAAGTAAACAACTAACTAAATGAATTTCTCATTTCTCCAATTGTTGTGGCATTGTATTGACACATTCTTAGTGGAAAAAAGAGAAAGTCCTGAATGCTAGCCTACTTTTGTTTACTTTGAAAAAAAAAGCAATGACAAAAGGTCTCACCTGGTTTTTAGT